GAGATTTGAGTCGCCCAGGACTAGGATGACGATCTGTACTTTCAACGCACGGACGCTTGCATCGGAAGCTCACATCGAAGATCTGATGTTGCAAGCCAGGAAGATCAAGTACGACGTCATCGGACTGACCGAGACGAGGAGGCATCGCCCGCTACACGCCGTGTACGAGACTGGAGAAGAACTGTTCCTCGGAACATGCGACAGCAGAGGGCGTTGGTGTGTAAGCCGCGTCCTCTGTCACATCGCACTTGGCCATGAACATCGATTCGTACGAAAATCTGACGACCCGAATCGGACGTTGCGATTGAGAAGATGTGGTTCAACTCCGGCTTTGACAATCTTCGTCGCCTACGCACCAACATCAAGCTACGACGAGGATGAGCTCGAAGCGTTATCAGAGAAGTTCTACAAGGAAGGATCATACCTTCTTCAAGGTCATCGTCGGTGATTTCAACGCTAAGATCGGACCAAGAAGAACGGCTGAAGAACTTCACATCGGAACTCACGGAACGGAGTGAAAGGCTGTCTGAGTTTATCATGTCGACCCATACCATCCATGGTAACTCGCAGTTCCAGAAGCCCTACTCTCTACGCTGGACATGGGAGTCTCCTGGACAATTCCATAACGAGAGATCGACCACATCATCTTCAATCGAAGGTTTTGCCTGACCGATGTCGCTGTTGTTCCTAAGTTCTACACAGGATCCGACCACCGTCTCCTTCGCGCAAGATTCCGCTTTTCGATGCGAGGAGAGAGAGCCGCAAAGTTCAATAAGCGAAGCTCCAAGACCGTCATCAACTGTGAGATCACTTCACTTCTCTCGCTTGGAGAGGTCATTCGAACAACATCGACGAGGAAACAATACGCTTGTCGGCGTATCTTTCGCGACTCGCGCCAATGAATCAGAGAGCTTCCAAGATCTACCGAAGAAGTTCTATTCTGGAAACCTCTCGAGGTTCTGCTTTCGCAACGTGGAGCCGCACGAGCCGCAGGCAATTACCAGCTGACGTCTGAGCTTGCGAAGCTATGCAGAGAAGCGATAAAGGAAGACCTCAAGGAGAGAAGAGCAGCAGTACTGGTGGAAGCCGCAGAGGCTGGGAAGAGCATACGCAACGCCCGCCGCGACTTCGCCAACTGTAAGACTAAGATGACCGCCCTCCGACGTCCGGATGGAACAATCACCGCATCCAGAAGGGCAATGGAGAAGGTCATCCACGACTTCTACTCGGATCTCTTTGACAGCCACGTCCACCTGCAACCATACCGCTTGGAGCAGGATGGATATGTCGTTCCTGCAGTTCTCCTTCCGAAGTCCGACACGCCATCTCGTCGGTGAAGAATCGTACGGCACCCGGTCCCGACAGGATCAGACCCGAACATCTGAAGAATCTTCCGCCAGTTCTCGTCAAAACTCTGGCTCGACTCTTCACGCGCTACCTGTCGGAATGCAAGGTACCCACCTCGTGGAAAACCAGCAAGACTGTGTTGCTGTACAAGAAGGGAGACCTGTACGACATTGGCAATTATCGCCCAATCTGCCTGCTGTCTGTAGTCTACAAACTCTTCACACGAGTCATCCTGAACAGGATTGGCAGAACACTAGACGAAGGACAGCCATGCGAGCAAGCAGGGTTTCGAAGAGGATTCAGCACGATCGATCACATCCACACGGTAACGAAGCTCATCGAAGTATCGCGAGAGTACAAGATGCCGCTATGTCTCACGTTCATCGACTTGAAGAAAGCCTTCGACTCCGTTGAGACAGAAGCGGTTATCGCCCTGGCAACCAGTGGTATCCTACTCAGTACATCAGGCATTCTTCGTGAAGGCTCTACAGGCGGAGATCATATCGACGTGAAGAGAGGGTCCGACGGGGCGGCACTCTCTGCCCAAGCATTCGCGCTCTGCTCTCGAGAACGTCATGCGTCACTCGGATATGGGAAGATCATGCGAGTGAAGATCGAACGGCCGGCAACCCGCGCCATCTCCTTTGCTGATGACCTCGTTTTTGATAACACCAAACATCGAGCAAGCGGAACGAATGCTGGCTGAATTCGACTGCGCGTGTGGAAAAATCGGTCTACGGCTGAATCTAACGAAGACGATGTTCATGAGAAACGGATTGGTTTCTGATGCCCCATTCACGCTCAACGGAAGACCAAAAAAATGACCCATCTCTGAATGCTTACTGCTGTACCTATGTCGTGAAATCAATATGATGAATGACCTTAGCTCCAGAGCTGAGCAGGAGGAAGCGAGCGGCTTGGGGAGCCTTCAAGAACATCGAGGGAGTAGCGAAGAAGACGAAGAACACTAAGCTCCGTGCCCACCTCTTCGATTCCGCAGTCCTTCTGCTTGAGACGTACGCCTCAGAGACTTGGACTCTACGAAAGCAGGATGAGCATGCGGTCGGTGTTATTCAACGCGCCATCGAAAGGGCGATGCTCGGAGTTTCCCGCTACACGCAAGTGAGAGAGGGAATCCGGAGCTCCGCACTCCGCCAACGATCGAAGATCAGAGACGCCGCATCTGTTGCCAAGGCTTCGAAGATCAGGTGGGCTGGACACGTCATGCGTTTCGAGGACGACCGCTGGACCAGAGCAGTCACCGACTGGATTCCACGGGATGTCAAGCGAACGCCTGGACGACCGCCTATGCGATGGTCAGACTTCTTCGTGAAAGCTCTGAACGAATGGTATGAAGTTCATCGTGTCCCTCGAGCAGAGAGAGTCCATTGGGCAACTCTTGCACGTTGCAGGGACGAATGGAGACGTTACTGGCGCCCGCTCGAGGAACTCGATGATCAACGGGAGCACAGGTGATACAGGTGATACCACTGAGGATTTGCCGCGCACCGTTGGCAGGGATGGGGCGACGCGCGATCAGTGCGGACGAATACGCGATGGTCGTGTCCGTCTCCGGACAGCGTATTACGATTAGTCTGGATAGAGTTTAGACTGAATCACGCTTCGCGAGAAATTTCGTGAATGCTAAGGCCTTCCATTTCCTAAGCTTCAGATTTGCCGGCGCACGATGAGCGTCGCGCGTGACAGCCGCAAATTATCGATTGTCCTGTGCTGTCTCCGCCTGTCGAGCATGAACTGAGTTGATGCCTTTAGGCGCATAACCACTCGGCTTGCAAACCCTCCTGTTGCGTGTCTTTGTCGCAGTCGGATGTGCTAAGGCTCATCTATTATAACTCTCCTCTATAGTCGCACTATCTTCCGGTTGGGGTTGTAAGAGTGCACAATCCCGGCTATGCACTTCACGGGGCCGTTCATGCTTCCTTTGACGCCACAACAGTTGTCCATGATTCTGTATTATTATAGGCAGAGGAAGGTCGATTGGCGACGCGAGGTGAGTCTGCACAACTGTGTTGACGTTGAGCTTTCACCTGCCGCATGACTTGTGTTCATAATCTTTCCCTGAGCATTAAAAATCGATAAACGTTAGGCCCGTTTCCGAGGTATCAGGTGAGAGCGCAGCCAGAGGAAGGCAAATGTGACGGTAAATCACATATAAAGTCTGCGTGCGGGCCGGTGAGCGGTCCTCGACTACCTTATGTTCTGGCAATTTATGTCCACTAAATTATGCGCTAGAAATGGCTGATTCAAGCAAAGCATTATCATGATGATCGGATAGAGTAATACGGATAATGATGGGAAAAGAAAGGTCAACAGTCAAAAAGTCCCTAAAGTTACTAGAACGAAAGGAGAAAGAAAGGTTCAAGAGGTCTCAAGCTCAACGTGGTCGGCAAGCCGCTCCAAAGAGAGAAGCTTGAAGAAGTACGTGAATTCCCAATGTATATGAGGCCCAGGTTTAAATTTCATCTGGGTACCTTAAAAATCAAAAATTTTGGAGGCGATCTTAGGCCACTATTGAAGTGCACCCTAATGGCGAGGAGGACACAAGCTTTAACAGACAACAGCCAACTTATGACTGATGAGGGTGCGGTCGCGTTCCTACCGGCAAAGGTGATTGCGGTGGTTATCTGTGACGCGACGCGACCGCGCGCTTCTTTTTACATCTGCCCACGCCCAGTTTCACCTTGTGATATGGAATGCTGTTCTTAACGCAATCACTTCTTTATACTTCAAGACTATGGCGTGACGCAATCGCGTCTTCTTTCTGAAGATCCATCACAATTTGGCTGCGTGAAAGGGGCTGCTGGTCGGGAGATCCGTGTTTCCGCGACGCGGCGAAAGGGGCGTTACAAACCAAAACACGAGGTGCAATTGCTGCAGTATCTCAAGTCAGCCAGCTAGGAAATACCGGCTAGTTTGTGCATGCCACCATTAGATATCAGGGATCTCCCGACCGGCACCACTGATACGGAGTGTCTGCACATAGTTAACAGTTGCACCTCAACAACCATCATGACTTTTTTGCCCCTCCATAGTCAGTCTTGCTCGCTGCAGATGCTGGAGCGTGTCAGGAGAGCTGGATTCAGCGCCGCGACAGTTCATTGTCCACCAATTGTTGAGGCGAGCAAGCGATAACAACTGGTAGGAAACGGACTGGCGCAGGGCCAAATTCAGCTTCCCTGACGCGTCCCAGCATCGGCAGCGAACAGGACTATGTTCCCTGTGGGCCATTCATTGTCTCTAATTATAACTGTTCCCATTTACAGAGGCACTTATAGTGCTGAATCGGTCTCCCTCCAGTCTCCAGTCTCCTACATTGGCCCGAAAGTGAGTCTTTCACCATTGATTGTTGATCGGAGGTGTCTGCTCCATCTCCGCTCAACCTCTCCCTCGCACCTTCCCGGCTCATCGGCAAATTTTTGAGAACGTTTAGCAAGACGATAAGTCGCTTGGGGAAGAGAGGGTCGTACCGGAATAGGACCCTGGAGGGGAGGATTCCAGTTAGCGGAGAATTTCCCAGCACCACGCAGGAAGGTGTGAATGCACCATAAAGGTGGTCTCCGCCCTATCTATGACCATCGCGGAAAGTGTCTTTACGTGCTGACCTCAAACCATCTAAACAATGTTTGGTGACTATGGGGAAAAGTCTCGTATTGCAGGTCAGTGAAGCTGACACGGTGATAATAGGTGATGTGAGTTACGTTAAAAAGCGAAAACTCGGCACAGGGGGAAGTGGTTCCGTGAGTCTCCAAAACACCTGTTCAGTTTACTTTATTTTTGGTATGTCTCAATTCATTACAGGTTTACGAAGTTATGAGAGAGGACAATGAAAAGAAGTACGCGCTGAAAGAGGTGTCCCTTCGTCAGCATGGGAGCATTTTTCGAGGAGAAGTGGAACGGTTACAAGCACTCAAAAATTGCCCTCACATCATCGATCTGATTGCACAGTACGTTGATTCCTACTATCGCGGCAGGTTTAATTCACAGTAACCCAAACAATGCCTAAGAAAAAAAAAACTCAAGTACGCGCGCGGGCGCGTTGCGGCCCCATTTGAGCAATCGATAATATTAATCAGTAACTTGTGGATGACGTAGGTGTATTCATTTCAGTGAAGCATGAGGCATAAGTGACTTTCAGAACCCATTTCACAATCAGCACCTTTTTTCCGGAGCGGATTCTTGTTACTGCAGGGGTGACTAAATAGCCGCTCTACGACCGCACGCGTCTAAGGTGCTTCATACTCGAAAATACGACGACGCCGGTGTTTCTCATTCAGCGGAAAGGCAAAGCACGAAATAAGATGGGAATACAGTTAACCGCAAGCTTTTCCAACAAACGCCACCCCTGTGATTAGATGGCCGCTCCGCAACCGCGCGCGTCCAGACACTACTCACGCCCGCTCATTGTGATAATTTCGTTATCTAAATATTTCAGCGACTTCGTAGCAAACGACACCATACTCCGAATGGTGTTGGAGTTGGGGGAGATGGATCTTGAAGATAAGTGGAAGAAAAATAAGGGCAAATTCGATGCGGCCACCGTGAGATCGTACGCATACGAGATTGGCAAGGGTATTCAGGAAATGCATAACAATTGTGAGCTCATGGTTACCTTTCGCTCTGTCTCTCTTCTGCAGAACAACTCATAATTTTCATGTTTATTTCAGCTATAATTCATTTGGATATCAAACTCGCTAATGTGCTATTTATTGATGGTGCTTTGAAAATTGTCGACTTGGGATTGTCGGCCACGTTACGTGAAAAAGAGGTGAATCGTTACTGGGACAAGGACAGCTGAGGGGGACTGAGCGCGAGTGGGAAAGTGGTGTATACAGGGGGGGGGGGGCAAAAAAAGTCACTTTTCTTCATTGACTTTCGAGGCGCTATAAGTTACACTTTATTAAATTCTGATCGGACATTTCTACCACCATATTAAAGAGCATATTAAATACTATCATGACACTCCGCCACAGCCTTCTGGACGAGCGCCATCGAGAGATTCTGGCACGCGACCGCGATGTGGTGCCTGAGATCAGCGAGATAGTCGATTTCTCCGCCACCGTAGACCACTACTGCTTATCGAGGAACATCTTGGGTATCTTCCGCCCTTGTACTCGTA